AATATTAGCAATTTGCTAGGTTTATTCAGAGTAGATATGAGATCTTGTTTGGCACCACGATTTAGGCCTATGAAAATTTTCCAAAACGAGTTTATCGGATTTTAAATTTAAAACATATTTTAAAAGTGATTTTTATAGAGCGACAATAATATAGAACGTGTGTTTGGGATTTTAATAAAAATTGAAGTACAAATTTTGAAGAAAACAATGCAAATTTTATTTTAGCAACATAATACGGTTAGCCAGTGTTTCTAAGGGCCTAGAAAGGGAACTTGAATGTGAACCCAGCTCGAAGACTTAGAAAATTTTCAAGTTAAAAAACAGTTTGACGACACCAAGTTCATGAATTTATTTCGTGAAATCTAATGAACAAGTAGTGGCATGTTTTAGAGTCCAACGCACCTTCTTAAGCGTAGTTTAGATGGTTGAACCCAAAATGAGCTAGATGAGTTTTCGCACGTGCTTTAAATTTCGTGCACGAGCTCGGCCTCGGGCAGTTTGGCCTGTGGGCGCGGTCACCGCGTGCGGTCTCAGCGTAGCCGTGCTGGGCTCGCCCGTGCGGGCCAGCCGATGCTGACCAGGCTTGGCTGTGGTTGGTTGTTGTGCTTGCCACTGGCCATCTGCCCGGCCAGTCGCTGGCTACTGCTTTCCGTCGCCCAGCCGCTGCCGCTGCCGCTGTCGCGCTGCGTTTCTGCTACCTGTCCTGCCGTGGCCTCACGTGTCGTCGGCTGCTGCTGCCGTGCACGTTGCGTGCACAGGGCCGTGACACTCCACGGGCAGCTGCCGTCTCCTTGCAGTGCCGTGTCGTGCCCGCGCCTGTGCCGTGCGTGCCGGGTCATGCTACTACGCTGCTGTGCCGCTGCTCGCGCGTGAGGCCACCGTGCGGGCGACGTGGCTTCTTCCCCACCGTGCGAGCTACCTACCCATCAAGTAGTCACCGTCTCAGCTGTCCCATAGCGCAGCCTCCTTATCGCTCTTTCGCCGCAGCAAGATGAATCGCGTCCTGTACCGTGCACTGCTGCCCGTTGTGCCCTGTCGTGCCCTCGTGCTGCTGTCAGCAGGCGCCGTTCTATTTCACGACGCTTGGGCCGTCTCGGTTCAATTATTCACGTCAGTTGCTAGGTCACGAAGCTAGCTCAACGCACAACCCGCATAGAGAACTAGAAGTGCACTGTTGCCGGCCAATTTGGCATTTCCGTCGCCGCCGGTCAGCTCACCGCCGTTAGAGAGCATTTGGGGGTAAGTCTCCACGTTTGGCATTAGTTCGATTGCTTGCACTCTTGTACTGCCCTTGACCTGACGATGTCGATGCTCGTCATATTTTGGTGGGAGACGTCGCCGGAGATGGAGTGGTGCTCGAGTGCCAGTTCGGTGCGCCGCCGCCCTTTCACCGCGCACGTGGCCAGTCCGCCCCGAGCCATTCCTGCCCTAGCCAACTCTTCAGCGGTGTTTGTGGTGAGCCACTGACCCTTCCCTGACTCCCCGTTTAGCCTATGCCATAGCCTTCTCGCCGGAGCGCGCGCGCCATTGCCGTCATCCATGTCTGCACGCGGGAAGACATGCCCTGCACGCCACCACGGGCCGTCGCGGTCCTGTGTAGTCACGCTAAACCTTCGGTGGCCCTGCGCCTCTGGTGGTCACCCCTCCGCCGCCGCCGTACCCTCCCCGACCGGTCTTGGCCGTTGTCGGACCGCCCCTGCCGTTGCTTTGCTCTAGAGTCCCTCGTGGACCGGGATTTGAAAATAGAAGTAAGTATAGGGGGTTATTGTGATGAGACAGTGAGAATAATGAATAGTGTAAATAAGGTTTGGCAATTAGAAAAACGATCGGGGGTTTTATGCAAAACTCGCCGCGCCGTTTGGGCCGGCCTGGTGTCACGCTGTGTGCTGGGCCGCGCGCCCCTATGGGCTGCGCCGTGCTGCTGGGCCGCTCGTGCCCCGTTCCAGCGCTGGGTCGGCCTTGTGCCGAGCCGCCTGGGCTTGCCAGTCGCTGAACCTGGCCGAGCGGGCTGCTGGGCCAGTTAGTGGCCGCCGGCCCTTTCCATTTCCGAAATGCTTTTCTAAAATAGGTTTCTAGTTTAAATTGTAAAATCAATATAAAATGGTATAGGAATCCAAAAATTGTAAAACCAATTTTGTTAGTCTCCTAAAATCATGATCTACCTGTTAGTATATTTTGTTCACATAGTTTGATAATATTCTTGGAAGCTATATAATTAATTTAAGGTACTTAATATTGTAAAAATATAAACTTGTAGGAATTGTTGTGATAAATTGTTAATAGTGTTGGATCTGAAATTTTTACAGTAGTCTCCTAGCAATATTAGGTACTCACTGTAATTTTTGTAGCTCTGGAATAATAGTTTGCTAAATAGATAATGATGTTCTATTGCGAATAAAGATTAAATTGATAGAACAGAATAAAGAAACAACTTGAGTTTGATAACGCCTTATTTGACAACATGGATACGTAGACCAGCGTTCGAGCTATCTCGTTAGCTTGTGAGGCGTGATCGGATTTCTAAGCATTTCGGCTGTCGTTGGTTATTTACATCTATGCATTTGTATCAATGTATATCATATAGGTACGATAATGGATCAACGGATCAATTGAAGGATGATTGGGAATCCGAAAATGGTGTAATGGTATTCTCTCCAGGAGATGATGCAATGGGCTTTCTATTCAGTTAATGGTGGATGATCTGAAGATGCAAATACTAACTTTTGGTTATATTTTACCCAGGCAAGCCCCGGTGCATAACCCATACTTTTCTGCAGTTAAATTATATTTGTGCATTAAGTTTTAAGGAGTTGGATGAAACCCACTTGTATATATATATATATATCTTTATCCCATGAGTCTCACTAGTATGACAGGATCGTGTAGAATGTTATGATATAGGACTCTGGTCGAAGTCGAGTGATTGCCTATCACTCGCGAGAGATAGCAAACATATTATTGTATTATTATCACTTGGAATATATAAAATGGTGGAAAGAAAAATAGTGATCGGGCAGGGATATGGTTTAGGTATTGGTGGGTGTAAGAGGTTGTGTCACCGCGGACGCGGGGCATAACTTGGTTACACTGCTTTCCCTGTCTGTGTCAGTCAAGGACCGGCCATTGCATAAGGCTCTAGGCAAGTCACAGACTTATTATCCCGAGCACATACTTGGGTATGGGTGCTTGGAAGACTTGTTGCTCTCTTGTCGTGGATCCAGCTCTTTCTGGACCGACTGTCTTGGTGGTTTTTGGTTTAGGAGGTTCTTGCACCGCACTGAGTTCGGGACTCAGGGGCGGGGGCTCGGAATCCCAGTTTGGACGCGGACCTGGACACCTAGGACAGGAGGGTGATGGGTTGGTCCTGCTTATGCCTTGGGTACAAGCGGGGCGTGTGTATTCGGAGTACCCAACTAGGGGCATTGATTCGTGAATCGCCAGGCGATCCGGTATGGCTTGTCTACGGTTTAGCATCGTAGTAAGAACTGAAAGATAAAAGATGGAAGATAGAAAAAGGAAAGCTGATTGCTTACCACCTGCTTGAAAGTAGCACATGTGCTTACATAGAATGGTTAGTTAATGAACCAATGCGGCTATTAATAAAAATCGAATACAAGGACGCACGCTTAGAAATGCTTCCTGCAAAGGCAATAAACCCACAAGCCAGATAGCCTTGCATATCCTTGGAGTCTTTTCTTTCCTTCTGTCGGGTAAGTCTTGCTGAGTACAATTGAGTACTCGGGTAAGTCTTGTGTGTGAATTCCTCCTGGTGGGCTCAGAGAGGATTTTCTTTACGCTACGATCATAGTTTTCATTTATAACTCTCACTAATTGTTTTCTAAATAAAAGTTTTATAATCTGTTGTCATAGTTTATATATCAATGCTTCATCATGTCATGAATAGATATTTATTTATGTTGTAATTCTGATAACATGTTTATATTCCGCTGTAACTTAAATTGTGCATAACTCTGATAATATGATTACATTCTGTTGTTATAACAATAAATATTATACCCTGATGTTGTACTAAAAGTGATGTAAGAAATGGTTTAGAATGTTGTAAGCTTTATTCTCTCATTTGTGATCCTGATGGAAAAATATGGATTTTTGGGTTCTCCCCTGTGGTGTGCCCGATGGAACCAAGTGATTTGGTGTCCTCCTTTGAGTGCTTAGTGTCTAATGGAAGACGAGCACTCCTGTGGGACATTAGATTAGGCGGTTTTGCCATAGCTGTGCCCGCGGCAGCCGGGAGTCGAACTCTCGACCGGGGCCTTCCCACGACGGGGACAGAACCACTCGAGCTATATATGCCTGTACAAAACTGAAGCGTTCTTTGCAAAATAAATTCGTGCAGCATGGCAGTCCACATTTGGAGTGGGTGTCTTAGTAAATGCCATTTCCTTCTGTCAATATTTTCTAAACACTATTACTAATAGCATGGTTATATTGATTTTCAGGCAGTTTTGTTAGGTCCCAGAAAGGGTTGCTTCGTCGAGGTGTCTTGGTTGCCAAGGCTTCACAACCTTTCTCCTGATCTCCTGATTCACATTTGCTATATGGTTTAGTGATTTAGTTACTGTTAACTTTTGATGTATGGAATTGAATGGGTCAGCCAATATATTCTGTATATATGCATGTGGAATTTTGACAATTGTTTGACCGTAATATATGGAATTTGTGACAGCTCCATCGCCGAGGTCGTCTTCGTGGGCCTCCCCTCCGCCGACTAGATCCGCACCACCAACGGGATCGCCACCGAGGACCCCGTCGCCTCCTCTCCCTTCCCGTCACACCTAGTGCCGGACGTGGCGGTGAAGGCCACTCCACCGCGCTCCGACAGAAGGTTCGGTGCTCCCCTCCCTCCCTGCCTCGCTTTTTCTTGCCCCGATCTAATCCACCCCTTATGTTAGGGTTTGGGTGATGGGGTGGTGCTCGATCTAACGACATGGATCTAATTTTCTTGTCGTCTGGTTGTGCAGCTCGATGTCTTGTCGGCGATGGTGCAGGCCGTCCTCTCCAACGACCCCACTGTGCAGCTTGAGGCAACCATGCACTTCAGGAAGCTGGTCTCCATAGCTTTGCCTCTCTTTGTCAAGCTCTTCAACTCTCACACCGAGGATGTTCATAAACAGGCATGCAATGAATTACATGAGTTACTCTCTTCTATATGCGACTTACGTAGAGTGATGCTTAGGTTCTTTTCTTTTTGTTTTTGTTTTTGTTTTTGCAGGCTGTAAATCAGCATATAATTTAAACTTAAAAGGTGCTATTACCTGTACAAATCAACACTGTATATGAAACTGGACATTCAGGTTGCAATCAGACCAAAGTATATTTTCTGGCTTGGGTGCAAGTACTGATGTTGAAATTATATGGACATTCTCAGATACATTTTTTCTCAACATCACGTGCGTTGCAACGGGAACACATAACTGACAGGCATTTGAGCTGTCAAACTTGCCTTGCTGCATTCAGCGCTGGTGATTCTGCACTTCTACAGTCACAACACACTAACTGGCAGGCATTTGTTCCTTGACGCCGGCAGCATTTGGAAATAATGTCAGCCTTGTGATGTCACCAAATGCATTCACCTAAATAGGATAATCAGTAGGCACACAGACCGTGTTATTTTGTTTACATGGACTTAAAGTTTGGCACGAGTTTTCTAACAGCATAGTCACTCTTTCTGTCATGTTTATAATTCTTTCATGTTTAATCCTTGACTGCATGTGATTTTCAATGAGACCCTAAGTTTCACGTGAAGTTTTTTTTTTCCTGAAATTATATCCACCATAATTAATATGTATATCATGTGTTCAGTTCTATGATGCAAAGGTATAACAAGAAGCCATAACAAATATTGCTGTTTATTTAGCTAGTTATTCACATTATTCATCTATCACTGATTCTGTGTTATTGTTTCAGCTGATGTATGAGGAGGCAAGTCAAATAGAAAATGATGCAGTGAGCAGCATAAGGACAATGGCGTCATTTTAGCTAAAGAAAAAGTGATGGATTTATTCAAGAGAAAAATGTGAAGGACCTTTAAGTGAATCAGGACACATACAAATGAAATTGGCTTTGGGGTTTCCTTCTTCTTGCTGTTTGGAGTTTATGCAGCCAGCTTCTACGCTGGTGCACGGTAGATGACTTACTGCTTCCAAAAGATATATTATATACCAAGATCTTTACATTTATATAAGTTGCTTGTATCATTTTTAGTAGTCAGATTTCAGCCAATCAAGACACACACATATATGTCAAAGTATGGATAAATAAGTAGTAGCCTAGCAGGTGACATCAGTTCTTTCCATCCTGTGATATATATTCCTTTTTGTTCCCTCGTCAGTTGCCAATGAAGCAAAATCAATAAATGCAAAAAATCATTGTTGCAGATCTATAGCTTGAAAACAACATAGCCTAGAAGAATATATATGGATTTTTCAATAGACAAATGTGTGGAGTAATCCATCAAAGCAACAAGGAATATGTATATTTGTTTCAAAAAAAGGAATTTGTATACCAAAACAGTCCTGAAGTTGTACTACTGCAATTTATAGATTTACCCATACAATTGTTTTCCTGAATTTATCATCCCTCTGCAATACAATGACGACACTTGCAATTGAATAGATACGGCCAACTGTCCAGATGGTCAGCTCAGCAGGAGGGTCGCGTGATGAGGTGGTGTACATTAGCATCTGCTTTTGGGCTATGAGAAGTTCAGACACAGCAATTGAATTAGGTTCTTCCTTTGGGGGCGTCATGTGAAGTTGCCAATTTATTTCTGTTCTGAATATTAGCAATTTGCCATTTTTATTTAGAGTAGATATGAGATCTCCACCTCCCAGCTCTAAGGTTGGTAACTTTTGATCATTGCAGTGCTTCATGCTTTCTACATCCAGATATAACATTGATGTTTTTTTGCTAATTATTATCTTGGTAACTTTTGATCATTTTTGTTTCAGTTATTATTGGTAGTTCGAAAGAACAGTCTGTGTTTGAAATTTTGAATCATTCATTCATGAATTAGTTTGAGCCTATACAATTGATGAAGCTCAGGTGCCACTCTATAACTATGCTTATTTGAGACGGAGAACCGAGCGGGAGACGGAGGCTCCTGCGATAATGCCGCCGGCACCAGACTCTACCCCGACTCTTGCAGCAAAGCTGCCGGCTACTTTAGCCTACAGACAGTTAAGTGATAGGGTGGCAGAGTTCACATATCTGTGTGGCATCACTGGTTGGCGGCACTTGACCCTTTAGTACTACGGCTATTGTGTGCCATCAAGGCATTTGTTGCCAGTTGCAGTCCTATAGATATTGGCACTCCATTTTCAGGTAAATTCTCAAATAATTTTTACTCATCTGTGACTGGTGGATAATTGGCATGATTCTTTTTTACTCCCTCCGTTCCAAATTATAAGTCGCTTTCGCTTTTTTGGTACATCCATTTTGCTATGCATCTAAATAAATAATATGTCTAGATACATAGCAAAATGAATGAACCAAAAAAAGTCAAAGCGACTTATAATTTAGAACAGAGTGAGTACTTCTGATATATGCCCACTGATTTATTGGTTTTGATCTTGTTGCTAAAAAATACATGGAAGTTTAATGATGCTTGATTTGGCTATTGCCATGACGATTAGTTTTAGCTATTTTAGGCTACAAATTTCAGAGTATCTGTATGGTATATTTCACTTAGTGAGTCACCTTTTTGTAGCATTGATTTCTCATCGATGTCAGCCTGAAATAACTATGGTCATAGCATATATTTACATGTTTACTGGAAAATGTCCCCTTCTCTTGCATACAGTGATGAATGAAAAGTCACAAAATAACTAAATAAGAGTAATCGTGATACATGAACTATAGCCATTGTGCTGATAATTGTTTCAACTTTTATACACTCAAAAGCTTTCCTGTTCGGTAGTGATTAATTGCAGCCATTCCGGCTGCAGCTGCAAGCCAATTGTACAACAATCTACATGTTTTGCTTGTGGAAATGTAGGGGTGTGTGTTAAGTTATTGGAACCTGCTGTCTCTTTTGCATTTAGCTGATAGCTAAATAATAAAAGCCACTTGTTTTGCACTTGCACTTAGTGCTTCTACTTGGACGAGAGGTGTGGGCTGATTTTCGTGCTGGTGATGGTGGTTATGCTGTCTGTTACATACTGTTGTAGCAAAGGTATGGTTTAATGAAATTTTGACTTCTGATTTTTTTCGATTTGGCCATATTGCTCAATGAAAAGTGCTCTTCTATTGTTCCTGAAATTGCTCACCAGTCAGTAAATTAAAAAAAATCAGGCAGCAGATTGCATAGGAACTTCTGGATACCTATACCCATCTGGTCTCTGCCTCCTAGGGGCTCTTGTCGCTGCATCAACACAGGAAGGAATTCAGTGCCGCTCACAAGAAATTTTGCAAGCTTAAGGCCATATGTTCCGCCTCAAGGCAGGCAGGAGGTCGATGCCGCTAACTGATTTTAGATGCCTTAATAATTTTTTTGAGCAAGAATGAGGGAGTGTTGTATACGGAATCTGAGCATCCTGATGCACTATATAGTGTTTTGTATCCATACTATGCAAACATTCTATGAAAACAAAAGGTATTATGTATGAATCACTAGGATGTGAGTATGAATCACTAAGATGTGAATATTCTGTTGGTCCTGATATTTGCATTTAAACAAATAAATTTCATTCAAGTTTCTTGCTTCGAAAGAATATATTTGACATGCAGTTACTTGCATATGTTTATTTTTTTTATTATGGTATATGCACCATCCATTTTAGGCGGATGAGCATTATAGGGACCAGGGGAACTTGTGTTGCGAAAAAATCATTTCTCTCGTTCCAATAATAATGATATTAACCAGTGGGAAACAAAGGTAGCATTAAAATTTTTAATTCATTGTAAGTCTTTAGAAGATATAAAATGTAAGGCCTGTAACTATAGCATATTGTTTTTCTTTTCTCACACAACTATCACCGGTATGTTCGTGTAGCATGGCTGACAAGATAGATATTGTTGAAGGGAAGTCTCAAGCGGACGGTATAACACCCGTTGTAACGCACGGGCACGATCCTAGCTAGGATAATGCTTTTAGATTAAATTGGTCTAGCTATGACACTTTGTTTTTTTTAAGATTAAATGTCACTTTAACATTGGTATTTAATTTTTACAGTATTGTTATCTTATCATGCGATCCATGTGTTTTTAGTACAAATTATTAGCTATCCCGTAGCAACGCACGGACACGCTACCTAGTATAGGCTAATCCAAAAACTATAGTGTAGAAATTAGACCATGGAAGCAGATGACGAATGCTCCAATTGGGCAACAACCTAATTTAGAATAATTTTCATATCAATCATAATCAAATTAAATTCGAATTGCATAAGTTTGTAGCACGAGAGAGTTCACCTCATCAGAAGTGATCCAGGGCACAGTCTTTATGAATTGAAGGTGTTCCCTGACGCTGTGCGTTCGGTGGTAGCATCTGAATGATCAAGGGCGCTGGTGTTCTTGACTTGGGCACCAACATTTCTCCTTCAGTTCGACGCCTACATGATCACATATGATGGTTGGGGCGCGCTGCCTGTTTTCCTAGCTCCTACACACCCAAAGACCCATCAAATACATTAGTCTATAGCAAAAAAAAAAAAAAAACCAGCTCCAAATGGTTAACTCGGCGATCACGCCAATTGTTACCTACACTCTGTGCACTATCAAGGTTCCAAAGGGATTCATCGAGAATATTGATCGCGCGCGCAAACAGTGTCTTGGAGGGGAAATGATGACACTGCAAAAGGTGGCAACCTCGTGGCTTCGCCGACTGTCATGCAGCCCAAAGAGAAAGGGGTATTGGAGTCATTAACTTAAGATTGCAGAATGATAAGCAGTTACACAAATTCTATAATAAGGTGGATGTCCCGTGGGTAAAGTTGGTTTGGAATAAATACTATGAAGGTAAAGTCCCCTATGAATGCAGAGAATTGGGATCCTTCCGGTGGAGAGATGTCATGCGTGTCAATGTCATTTACAGAGGAATTGCACAGTGTTCGCTTGGGGATGGCTCTACAGTGTCCTTCTGGGATGATCACTGGTCAGGCTCTGCTCTATCGGTTCAGTACCCCAGGCTGCATTCATTTGCAACGAATAGTTCCACCTCTGTGCAAAGACTGATGATGGAGCAGGATCAAGAGGATATCTTCTTCCTACCACTTTCCAT